AAATTTGCTCACCAGTTTTGAGTCTCTTAACAATAATCTTCAGGGTACTTTATATGTAAAACTAAGGCTGTCATAGTTACCTATATGATTCAATATAAATTCTGCTAAGATTCTTTGATTTCAATGACTTAAAAAGAGTAAATGTCTAAATAAATATAGGTGCATATGTTAGCTATACATGTATGTGTATATATCAACTTTTAATTTAAACTATTCATACTTCCAATAGACACAACTAGCATCAAGTTAAAATTCTAATATGCAAAATATAGTTTTATGTTTAATGCAAACTACAAACCACTGCTCTGTCATTCTCTATCACCTCTCCATAATTTTTAATGACAATCAGTTCTCCGCATCAGAAGAACAGCAACTGTATTGACTACTCTAAAACCTTTTCAAATCACTCCTTCCTTGCCTTAGTTCACTAAAGAAGCTAGAAATCAAAAATATCTGATGTTTCAACATGTTTTAGGTATATCCATAGCCAAGTGATAGGGTTCTGGTCAATTAGAAGTTCAAGAGCAATGACTGGACTTCCTAAAAAGTGTCAGCCTTAGCTGGCATCAGTTTGTCCTTTTGTCTTCTTTCTCCTCCTTAGAACAATCTGAGGTAGAGAATGTATTTTGTGATTATATGGAGAGAATATTGAAGGTTGATATCTACCACCCAAAGATGCTGGAATGAACAACAGAAAGAACAACATTCTCTGATGACAGTGTCAAGTCAGGCAACGAATTCCAGATGTTGATGCCCAGATTTTGAATGTGTAAAATAAACACCACCTCAACTTTTGGTCACGTATTATGCTATATAGAGAAGCATACAATTTAAATAAATGAAATATACCACATTTCATATGAACAAACTTACTGTAAACTGCCCCCTTCCTCCCTCACCCATTGCTTTAGAAAGAATAAATTATTTTCTTCGTACCAGGTAGAGATATTTAAGTTCCTGGAGTCTATCTCTCATTCTCACTGCATTTTCATTCTGTTTCTCTTAGGTGCTTATATTAAATTTTAAAAGTAAACAAACATAGGTACAAAACTATTTATACACATACATATAAACTGTCCCCCACATTTCCATGCATTAGAACTTTCATTATTTTTTTCTCACATTCATAAACAAACCTAATGAAGTGGTAGTCTACAACCAGGCTTCACTTTCTCATCATCCTCCTAATTTTTCATCCTTTGCTAAAAGAACAAAGTCTTTATTGTCCAAATTGTTTTCTCAGATGTTTCCAGACACCAGTGGCCTCTTAACTGTTTACTCAGTCCCAATCATTCTGATATCTCTGTCCCTCTCTGTCTCTGTCTCTCTCTCTCCCCCTGTATGTGTGTGTGTGCACACACTTCTTTTCACATAGAAGTTCACACGTGCGTAATTCATCCCTAATATGGGTCTTCCATTTGTAAGCCCATTTCTATATGCTACAAGACAAACTAAGAAAAGGAAACAGATAACTTACTGGGTTGAATCTGTATAATTCTGGGGCAGAATTAGAAATTCTACTATTACTGTGACCTGTGCCAGTTTTTCCTACTGAAAACGCTGAACTTTCACTTTCCATGTCCTGATTTATTGATACATTTCATTTTTAGCACTAATTTATTTTCTTTAAATAACTATTATCAACCTTGTATTTTATTTTTAAAACATTTAAAGATTAGACCATTTTAGATTTTAGGTTACATTTATTTCTGTGACTCTTAGAGCTAAAGTCTTAGCTTAGGAGTAAGCATATGACAGAATGGCTAAGCCATTGTTTGGGACACCCATATCCCATATTGGAGTGTCTGGCTCATGTCCAGCTCCTTCACTTCTAATCCAACTTCCTGTTTACGCACACCTGGAAGGCAGCCAGTGATGGCTCAAGCACTTGTCCCTGCCACACACATGGGACCCCAGATTGAGTTCCAGCCTCTTGGCTTTATCCTGGCCAACCCATGGCTGTTGTGGGCATTTGAGAAATAAAGTTTTATCTATTTTTTTCTCTCTATTGGTCTTTAAAGTTGAAAAAAAGGGAAAAATATTTACAAAGAGAAGGCTGTTATCCTGCTCTAAAACATTGTCTTGGTTAATCTGTATCCACTTTTTATCAATTAGTGAACAATATCTTGTGACTATCAATTAGTTTTTCTCAAAAATCATCATTATGAAGTGTTAATATTATTCTCACTCCTTTTTAAAATGGAGAATTTTGAATGTTGCTGCAGTGCTTTATTTTCTATTAGCAGTTTAATAATGCTTGTAAAAGACAATTCTTAAACTATTCAGTACTTTTCCATTATAGTCATTCAGCTTCCATATTTGTTCTCTTATTATAAATCAATATATTTGAGCTCTCTATACTGATGTGTAAGGCAAAACTGCAAATATTTCTGTTAATAAGGCAATCTTGGCTATATATTCAGTTAATGCATAATACAGAGAATTTGATTATTTTAGCAAACACTGTTTTCACTAAAAATATACTAGAAATGTCAAATGGTCACTTGTGTGGATGGTCATTTGTATTTATGTTATAATCTATATCTGAGAAGACAACTGTCCCTAAAATATATATCTTACAAATCAATAATCAAGACAAAAAATAAAAATAAAGGATCCGAATAGGTTTTTCTTCAAAGAAAATATATGTTTGGCAAGTAGACATAAAATATTGCTTAACATTATTAGCCATCAGTGGATGCAAATCAAAACCACAATCAGACAACACTTCACAGCCATTAGGATACTTATGATCTAAAAAAAAAGATAGCATCAAGTATGAATAGGGATCTCAATAGACTGCAACTCCGTTACACTGCTGGTAAGAATCAAAATGCTGCAGCCAATTTGGAAAACATTCTGTCAGTTCCTAAAAAAGCTAAACGGACTGACCATATGATCCAGTAATTCCACTCCTAGGGATAAACCCAAGAGAAATGAAAGCATATGTCCAACAAAAACTTTTACACAAATGTCTCCAAACACATTACTAACAGTGTTAAAAGCTACTCAAATACCCAAAAACTAATGAGTTGAAAAATAAAATGTGATACATGCATGCAGTGGAATAACATGCAGTTGTAAAACGGAATGAAAAACTGATGCTTATTACTATATAGATGAACTTTGAAACCATTATGCCAACTGAAAGAAGACAGATCAATACAAACATACACACACACAACACATACTATATGATTTCATTTAAATGAAACAACCAGAAAAGACAAATCTACAGAAATCAATAAACAGCAACCTAAAGGTGAAAGGATTTGGAGGGAAATGCAAAGTGACTGCTAAGGGGCAGAGTGATTCTTTTTGAGGTTCTGGAATGAAATAGTGGTGACAGTTGAAAAAAAATCTATGAACATACCAAAAAAGCCTTAAAGTGTACATTTTAAAGGAGTAAGTTTTATAGTATGTCAACTAAATCTCAATAAAGCTACTACAAATAAAGTTATTATGGGACTACAATATTTACTGTGACACAGTTGTAAAATGTTTTTGCAGGTAAATCTTATTTAAAGGAAATCCTTAATTGTTTGATAAAAATGTCCTCAACAACATCATTTTCTTTTTCCAACAGGCAACACTGCTTGGTATATATTGGAAAAAGTTTTATTCTAAGCATCACTAGAATTCTTTAACTTAGCTCAAGTACAGTTTTTCTACCAGGCAATACTGAGTGTTAATGTGTCAATAAGCAATATTTACTCCATGTTTCACAGTGTAGTTTAACATCAACTTATGACCAATGAGCTGTGTTAAATAGTATCAATGGGCTTTCTTTTAGTGTTTGTATGTACCATACTGAACTTACACTAGACATCCAGTATTACAGTTCTATGATTCTGTAACAGAGATGGTTCAGATGGTTATGAGTTCTATGACTATTTAACTAATTGGTGTCAAATATAACATTTTCTATAATTGCATCAAAACACAAGTACTTTCTGTAAAAAAGCAGCAATTTCATTCATGATCCTTGTTACATCTTTTCCACTGCACTGATTAAAGGCATGTCAACATATAAACTAGAAATATTTCTATCCAAAATTTTGAGAAAATTACTCTTTGGGATTTCTTACTATACCAATTGAACAGAAATGCAATTAGAAATAAGATAGTAAAATCTATCCAAAATGCCAATGGTAATTCATTATTTTTAAATTCTCAACTTATTCTATCTAGTTTATATTCCAAGAGAGAATTTCACTCTTCTGGGTTTATTTGATTTGTTATTTCACTGAAAGATATCTATCAATTACCTTACAAAATGTAAATAATCACAGCCACAAAGAGACATAGAATCTACTTATGAAATTGACATTTTGTCTGAAATATCAAGTTAGAAATATGGATGGGCATGAAACACTATGAAACATTTATCTTTCAAATAAGACTATGACTATGTGGTTGCTTATATTTCCCTCAGTCATCCAAGCAAAACAAAAATAACATTTATTTTATGGTGCTCTATCAATATAAATGCACAAAAAGCATACTGATGATTTACTTTTATCTCATCTACCATTGAACAAACAACATCAATTTATTCTACATTCACTGATTTCATAGAATGACTATTTTCACCATGCTATAATAATTGTACAATGGTAATTTTGAAGTCCATCATGTACATAAAGCTGTAAGATGAAAACATCACAAAATCAGAAAAAAATATCGCTTTAAAATCTTATTCTACTGACAGAATTTTTTTAAGTTCTACTTGCTGCATAAATATTAATCTTGAAAATATAGACCCATGTCCCAACACTAGAGTTAAAAATGGCATGGACACTTAGAATTTACTATGCAACAAATTATCTCGAGATTATTGAGAAAGACCTCATAATACATTTATATCTTTCAGTTGAAGATAGTTTACACAAATACAAGTATACATCTAGCTGTATACCTTGGTTTACTACATTGCTAAATCACATAACTTCTTTTCAATGTAATTTCAAATACATTATCTTAAAGAAAAATATACTTACTGCCCTCTAGAGGTATGAACCAGTAGTGTAATAAGTGTAGATGTTGCTGGGCATATACAGTTTAAAGCTAACATGGCATATTTGAACTCTTCTTCACAAACAACATGATCTGTTTAAAATAAAATAGGTAAATTAGAATAATTTACTGTAGGAGAGTACTATTTTTAGTTATTAAAAGCTAAAACAAGGAAGAAAATTGTGAAAATCTCAGTATAAAAATATTTGTTTTATAGATTTTTTTTTACATGTGCTTTTTTATACCAAGGGATGATGATGCCTAAGAGAGAGAGAGAGAGAGAGAGAGAGAATTGAAGTATGGGTTAAGTGATTAGAGTGGGAATGGAATCCTAGCCCGAACTGTATTTAACAAAATTGGCAATTTTGGGTAAAATGCTTAATCTTCCTATTCCTCATCCATAAAAGGAAGGGAGTTGTGTGTAGATTTGAGATGTAGGCTAGAAAACATATCCAGGGGCCGGTGCTGTGGCGCAGCGGGTTAAAGCCCTGGCTTGAAGTGCCAGCATCCCATATGGGTGCCGGTTCTAGTCCCAGCTGCTCTTCTTCCGATCCAGCTCTCTGCTATGGCCTGGGATAGCAGTAGAAGATGGTCCAAGTCCTTTTGCCCCTGCACCCACGTGGGAGACCCGGAAGAAGCTCCTGGCTCCTGGTTTCAGATCAGCGCAGCTCCAGGCCATTGCGGCCAATTGGGGAGTGAACCACTGGATGGAAGACCTCTCTCTCTCTGCCTCTCCTCTCTCTGTGTAACTGACTTTCAAATAAATAAAAAAACTTTAAAAAAAAGAAAATATATCCAATATTTTATAAAGCCTCCATCAGTTCTGATCATCCTACAGTATGAAATATGTGATTTTCAAAAAAGTTCATGTAAAATAAATAATATGAAAAAACCACACATGGATTTCAAAACTTTTTTGCACCAAAATAAACTATCCATCTATCAGCTTCATTTTTCCCATGAGCCTTCTGAAAGGTTTTTGTACAACAGTGTTGATAAACCACAGTATTTGTCAAATTCACAACCATACAACATTAATCTTAGGAAGAAATTGTGGTAGGTAACATTTGTCTCTCATAGAAACAATAGATTTTACACTATGAAAACAACAATAATATCAATCAATAAAAATGTTAAAATAAATTGAAACCGAAGTTGTGCTTAACACATGACCTAAGAGTCATAAACTCAGAATATGGTAGGGTGCAGCCAGGAATGACAACAAATGAAAGAAACATTCGAGGACATGAACATAAAAGAGAGTGCTCAAGATAATGTCATTTGGGAGGGGCAGGCACAGACACAGAACATAATTCCAATTAGCCCGAGAATATTACTGTCCTGCAGGACAGAAGCCTCCGTTGCACATAATCAACTGTCCACAGAAGTCACTTTTAGAGAAGTAATTAAAGTGTTTTTTATTGTGAAAGGAAAACACCTCCCTTCCCTAGTAGACAGTTACAGTTGGTATTAGAAAGGCAAACCATGTTTAAAGTTCTAAAACAAATAAAAAACACATTTATTATTAGAAAATAGCAGTGTTAGCTAAATTAAGAAATAGAAAGTTGAATCTGTTGATGAGCCAGTTCTATAAACACAAACATAAACTAGAAAAGTTCACTTGGGAAACAGTTTAACAAACATTCTGGACATAAAATGTTAGACGTGGTCCTGTTTTCATATTATTTAAGCATATGAAAATGCCCCAATATTCTTTCTTTGACCTTTTCTGCCTCATTTTTGTACTTTCCTCTTTCACACTTCATAGAGAAACTATATACTATGACTAGATCTCAAGATTTACTTTCCAACAGATTAGGAATCTTCTTTTGAGGAAAGTTTTAAAATATATAACCATGATATTAAACGCTTTGTAGGAAAGGCAAGCAGACTCTAAATCTAATTTTCAATGTGAAGAAGTATACAAAATATTTGCAAAATACCAGGGTACTTAACCACCATTTCAAAGTATCTCAAAACAATTATTTGAGTGTGTATGGCTAATCTGCAAAAATAAAGAAACAAAACTGCTAAATGCAAATGTGATTACATTAAGTTGAGATAATAGCAATTCACATGGGAATCAAAATTCTGAACATATGATCCGAGAAAAATATGTACATTTATGACATCAGATAGACTTCTGAAAATTCAAACTGGGACAGAAAATTTGGGGGGGGGTCTGATTACCATCTATGTAATGCCACATGCAATTATTAACTTTGCCTTCTGTTACTGCACATCCTATACTTCTTCCAGTAAGGGGATGTGAAATAATGAGATGTATGTGTAATTTTTTAAAAATATCCCTTTTTTATCAATAATGACAAGATATGGGCCCCCTCACTTCTTTTTTCCTCAATGAATATGTGCATCTGAATTTGTGAGGGATGTCCATGGGAGGATTGTGTCATATGGGCCAATTTTTCAAAAAATATAGTAATCAGGGAGAACTGGAAAGATTTCATACATTTCAGGTAGTCATTTTTGTATTTACATATACCTTTTTTCTACAGTTAGACAAAAATATGCAATGCCCATAAGTCCTTCAAGTTAAAAAAAAAATGTACTACTATTAGTAGTGGCAATTTTTCACACAAACATTCCATATGTTTTGCACCATTTGGAGCAGTATACTGAGTTACCTGATTGAAAATTAAGAGAAAATATACTTTCATATGTCTAGAAATGTATGTGAGCTATCAAAACAAGTTTAATATATCTGATTATTACTTATTACTGGCATTATTCAAATGTGTAGCAGTGCATGGTTACTGGTGCAAGTATCTCTCTTTTTTCATTGTGTTTTCTTAAGTATTAATATCTGAGTATTTATATATTGAAAAATGCTTATTTTTATTTCCCTTGTTTCTCCTTCATATTAAAGTTAGGATATTAGGGTTAATTGCATAGTTACATTTATACTTAATTTTATTCAAAGCTAGTTAAAGGATGCAAAATATTCACATTAAAAGGTTAAAGGATGCACTGGATCAAATAGAATTAGATCATTCCCTTAAATGGATTAATATAAAATTATCAGGAGTTCCAGTACTTTTCATTACAAAAATCTCTTTAATCTCTGTAGATGGTAAACACAGAGAAAGGGGACTGAAATATTCAACAGGAAGAAATATGCAGAAATGATGGTTATGGAGAAGGCTGCAAATTGTCAATTTTGACTGTTTCCTTTAGTCACCTCCAAATGCATGGACGTTAACACCAAGAAGACAGCGAGTTAAAGTTCACTAGGGTTGGCCTTGTCAAACAAGTCCAAATAAAGGAAAGAAGGTGCATATTGAGGGAGAACTGAAGGCACGGATTACAATGTATGACATGAAATTCAAACACGTTTAGAAAGAAAGGCAAGATGTGTGGGTATAAATAGCAGTCAAAATCTGGTAGGATCAAGGATTTGTAGACACTAGCCTGGCCAAAAGACAGTGGAAGTTCTGAGTTAGAGGATGTTCTGTCACAGAGGGGTCACTTTTATTGCTAACGATGTGATTTAGAGTCTGATCTTGGAAGTGGTTGTTGATATAGGATGGTGGGCAACAATACTGAAAGAAGGAAAATTACAGAAACACCAGTTTAGGGCTCTGCAAGGATCATTTTCACAGCTTTCAGTATCATCAGGTGGTATGACTGAACAGTGAGGAGACAGTGACAGTGAGCTAGGAGATGAAGCATGTCTTCAGGTTCATCAGCTACTTATATTTCCTTTTCCAGCCATTTCAAATTATAAACTGCCATTTTTATCAAAGGAGTTTCTAATGACACACAGAAGACCAAGTCATATAAAATCTGATATTAGAATAATATATATGGCAGAAATATATCCATGATGGAAACTTCTATTTCCTCCAACTATCCATTTTCCCGTTAATGTGAAAAGCAATGTGTCAATAGACACATAGTGAAGGGCTAGATAGAAAGGGCCAGCATGCTAATATGTGTTGACAGCACCTGCTGATTTTGGTCAGATATGAGTAGAGAGAGACAATGTGAGGTAAGAATTGATTACATTGCAGGCATAGAGAGAAGGGAATAGAACTCTGTTAAATAGGGCATTGTTTGCTTACAATCAGATATATAATCAAGAGTCCAGCAATCTGAATGCAAGTCTGAATGCAGATATGAAACAGTGAACTGTAGCCTAACTAGCAGTAGATGACACTCTTAGAGCCTTCTGCAGATACCTCCCATAAGGACTTCTCAGCCAGACCAATACAGCTAGCCCTGTGGCAAGGATCAGATTAAAATGCTATGCTGCCTTCATACCCAAATTCATTTCAAATAATGCCAAGGCAACTGTCATTACAATCATGAGGGGAATACAGACAGAGCAGCAAAAGCTAGGCAATGCAAGATCTTTCTCATCTTAGGAAAAAAGAAAAAAAAAAAAACCTTGAACACAGTTACAGAAAGGACCAAGAAATCCATTCCAATTTCAACTTCAGGCATGGCCACAGAAAATAATGAACAAGAGGCTATGTTTATGAATAGACAAAGGAGCTACTTCCCCAGAGTAGAATTAGGGTTTATTAAAGACTTTACTATACTGTTTGGAAGGTGCCTCCATTCATGTGCCACAGAACTTGCTATGGACCAATAACTGCTGCTTCCCATTGTTTCTTTTCCCAAAAACCAATTCTTATTACAGTGAGCCTGCAGTACTACTGTATACCCTTTGGAGTGGCAGAGGGCGACTGGCAAATGTGCTACTGTGTATACTGCCAATATAGGAGTCACATCTAGATCCTGCTTTGCAGGACCCAGATACACTGGACTTTGAGCAGGAAGCAGCATTTGATGGGATTCTGGGGTTTTTTAATAAAGAATGGATGAATATTTTCAACAAAGAAAAATGTTGTGCATGGATACTTGGGCCAAAGCTTTGAGCTATGACTGAAACTACTACACAAGCTCAGTGTCCTTTCTTTCCTCTTTTTGGGAAAACACAGTCTCATTCCCGGCCTTTCCCCACATGTTAGCTGGGTACTTCTTAGTTTCCAATTAGATGTGATGGTCACATGACAATATGTTTGATGGGACCATATACCTGGCAAAACCCAGGTTTAACTATGCAAATA